CCAATCGGGTGCCTTATTAAAACGGGGGCCATCCACATACGCTCTCACATAAAGGATTTTATTATACTTAAATTTAAATAAAAAGCTCAATTGTCTGATTTCAGTAGATTTTTTTATTTACAAGTCAGGTATCTAGTTTTTAATCAAAGGCCGTATTCAGCTAGCATATTTCTTCTGGCCATATCAGCTGGTTTGACCAATGTCTTCGACTTTTTTGTCTTCATGTGCTCTATTTCGTCAGGATCTAATTCCAATTGAGGTGGTTTTCTGATATAAAGAGAAATAGGATTAGTTCAGTTTTAAGAATGATATAAAATATTTGGCAAGAAAAATTGACGACCGAAGGATGTTATAAGCGCTCCACTTATCGGCAATGATTAGCTCTTAATAAGGCTATCAAAATTGGCTGATAGAATTTATCACAGAATCTCTTTTTATCATTAAAAAGTCATTTAAATGTTTGGTAATCACCTTTTAGATGATTTCGAGTTGGCCATGTCGACTTGATTAGTAGACTTGTTCACAACTTGTTTCGCTTTCCCAACTCCCTTTGATTTGCCAGTTACTCGAGCGGCGACGTCAGAAGGAGTATCATTCAGACAAAATGCGTGCGCCATATGGCCTAAGTGGAGGCGCTTGAAGCAAAACCATTCACGCATCTGACCCGAGAAGCTAGCGTAGGCACGCAGGAAGGAGATGTATGCTTTTTCGGCCTGCGATTGCAAGTCAGTACTATTAGACACTACGTTAAGTAGCATCTGAGATAGCCTGGAGGCACCCTCTTCAATTGTGCTGCAAGCCGTCTAAGAATAGAACAGAAAGCCTGACATTACATGTTACTGCAAAAATGATAAGCAAATAAGTCCATAATAATTAGAAAGCCATATGGACCAGCCTAAAGAAATAATCACAAATAAATGAAAAGCCACCATAAAGAGCGCCTAAACAGGTTAATGGCCTAAATAAGCATATGAAATATATTAAGTTACGATATTGAAGCTATCATCATAGTAAGCAACGGTTTGGCCTGATGGGTCGGAAGCGAACACTTCGGAAAGTTTGGGAGAAAGTACATTACGCGCCCTGGAATAAGTAATGAAACCATCAATATGCTCGGCGATAATGCTAAACGTAATAATGAATTGAGTCAAGGGCACAATAACAACATTGATATTGGTGAGCAGAAAATTGACTTTGTAGTTAAACATGATGGAGCAATGCCAAGAATGTCTCAATGGCTCACGTAATACGTGAACACTTATAAAGATGACGTAAAAGTAAAGGAGAATTATTTGTAGTTAATTTTGGTAAGAAATGAGGAATACCGTCATATAACGCTTAATTGCATTAATTCCTTAAAATGAATTTCGAAGTGCAATCTTTATTAATTAAGGTTATTAAAATACTCGAAAAAATCGGGCAAATAAAAGTTCCGGTCCCTTTTACTATACCGTCTAAGCCTATTTGCAATTGAAACCTGTAATGAGCTGCTCGCTTGAAATAGTCAAGATTCAGTTCACGATGGATCTAAGAAAAGGCTCAATCTTTCCCATGAATTTAATATAATCCAAAAGACTGCCTCTGGATCACAATTGCCATAGCAATATTACAAGAAGCGGCAATTATTATAGTGGATGAAATTCATTAAGAAGCTTATGTTACTAAAATTTTTCCAAATTTCCAAAGGTTGTGCTTGATTTCAAGTGGAATTTAGCCACAGGAGGTACTATTAGATAC